TTTACTTTACTTAACTTTACTTTAATTACTTTACTTTATTTTATTTTACTTTACTTTACTTTACTTTACTTTACTTTACTTTACTTTACTTTACTTTACTTTACTTTACTTCACTTTAGCATTCTGTAAACAATTGCATTAGTTGCCTATGCTGTTCTTAGATACTAAAACATAGAATAGCTACATAGATACCATAGATTAGTAATTATACTATAATATGTAATCTGTTTTCAGAGCCTCATTATGTGTTAATTACATTTTAATAGGAGCTGTACATCAGTCTCATGACTGTCCTGACCGTGCTGCCAGTCAATCTGGTACTTCTGCAGTTGTTCCGCATGGAGGCGCCACTGTCCGTTAACACTCGGGAGATGTCCATCCGCCCGTCCAAGAAAGGTATGAAAATGGAGCAGTAATAGCAAAACTATAAAATGTGGATTAATTTTCATCATGTGAACGCTCGTTTGTGTTTTTACTTTCAAAATCTAGTGTTATTGTATGTATCTTACTTGTCATTATAAACGAGCCAAGTGACAGGTTTTTTAGAAAGATTATAATTTTTTTTTCGCAGCTTGACTTCTGAAAACTGCTGGCACGTGAACATGGGAAATATACATGTGAGGAGAGCAGCTGTTGTAACAATAGAATAACTCTAATACTGTTGACTATAACATTATGTAAATTTAAGTTATAGAGCCAGTTACGTAGTTAACAGTATCCCTTTCCATCGTCTTCTAAACATATATGTTGACTATTAGGGTATTTGAAGAAAACATTCCACCTGGCCAAGTACATGGCGTGGGTGACCGTGTTCCTGGTGTCCACCAGTTCTACGTTCTTCGTCCTCCTGTACAGTATGGACTGGGGGAAGGAGAAAAGTGACGCCTGGATGAAGGCCTTTGTTCTGTCCTTCATGGGGTCCAGTTGTGTCATGGACACTCTCCAGGTGACACGTACTTAAGATAATAACATAGTACGGACAATCTTGAGGCTTTTGATGAAGAACGGGCCTCTTGTTACAATATTATTTTTTTTAATTTTTTTTTATTTCATCTTATTTTTTATTTTATGAACATTTATGGAAGGATTAGCATAACAGGTGACTATCACCTCTTCAAGATGTCAAACCTAAGACCAGACTGTAAGGTTGGAACCACTCACACCGGGAAGGTCCCCTACTCTTTTCGATAAGTGCTTGGGTTCTTTTAACGTGCGTGGGGGTGTGGCTCTCCCAAACACGGGACCTACATTTAACGTTCTATCCGAGGGACGTCCCTAACCGAAGTTAGGTACTTATTCACACCTGGTTGAAGTGAGAAAAGTCGTGTAAAGTGCCTTTCCCAAAGGCACAAGATCAGTGACACCGGGTAGGATTTGAACCGTGGCCTCTTCGGCCTGGGCCGAACAGGCTCAATTGAAAAATTAAAAAAGATCGAAAAAACTTTAAAAAATGAACAAGACGATATCCATGCAAGCACAAGAGATAAATATTTTACTCCATTCCCCGTAGATCTTTGTCCTTGCTGTGGGTCTGGCTGCCATCTTTAGCCTCCCGTTCTTCACCAAGCCGCCAGTTATTCTGAAGGAAGACCTGCAGCTGAACCTGTGGAACTCGAAAGGTTAGAAGTTTAAGACGTTAACTTTAAACCCCGGTGGCTGATTTCTCTCAATATGTTGTCTGAACTTTTAATGCTTCTTGTTTTCTACAGGCAAAAATTCATTATACTTTCATGTATTACACTGATATGACGTAACACCTTATTGTATTGAATACAATGCAAATTATGTCAGAAAGTTTCATCAACTTCAATATTGTGTATGTTATGTTTTTTTTTTATTGTGCCAAATTTTTGTAAAATTATACCTTTTCCTCTACAGCACCGAAGAAGGTCTATCCACCTGCCAAGCCTGATGTGAAATCGGCTAGGAAGAAGAAGGAACTGAATAAGAAGTCAGCTTCTGCACTGAAGGAGTTTCTTCTCTTGCTTCTCTTCGTGGTGCTCCTCTTCTACATCGCCCAGGCGGATAAAGACCAACATGCCTTTTATGAGACACAGTCCTTGTCGAACAACATTCTGCAAGAATATGACACGGTAAGTAAAGGATGTAAGGAAAAGTGTTCACCTACGCATAGGCCTTTACATGTTCAAGCTAAGTAGCATACATAGTCCAGTAATTTAAAAATTGTCAAGAGTTGGAAACCTGGCTGTTGTTGAAGGGCACTGAACTGGTTTTAGAGAATTTTCACTTTCTTTAATATTTTACTCCTACCTTATAACAATGTACTAATTATAATTATACATTTCGCCACTAGATTAAAACTCCGGACCAGTTTTACGCGTGGACTGAGGACGTCCTGCTGCCGACTCTTTACCCAGCTACCTGGTACAACGGAAGGGACATGAAGTACTTAGACCGACAGTTTGCACACAACACGGGATCTTTCCGCCTCGGTCCTCCACGTCTGACACAAGTTAGGAAACTTCCAGGTACGTCTGAAGACATTTACTTCAGAATCTTCTTCCGTTGTGTTTGAGATATTGGAAATACTGTCTGACATTGAAACTTCTTCTTTTTATTGTGGTCAGATTTTTCTTGTCCACAAATACAATTGAGTACATACTATAGTCAAAAATAAATGTTTATTATGTCCATTACTGCAGGTTCAACGTCTGTCGCTAGCATCGGCTGGAGCGTGTCTGGTAACTGTTGGCGATTTAATGTCACAGACGTGTTCTCTTATCCAAACGGCACACCCGAATGCACAAATCACCATTCATTTGACGTTCCCTTGAATCATGACTCCGCTGTATCATTCTTTGGTGTCTTGAAAGACAACCAGTTTTTCGACAAGTACACAAAATCCGTTACAATCGCCATAAACTTCTACAACCCCAGCCTGAAGCTTTTCAGTGTTGTGAACATGATTATAAATCGTTCCGGAGTAGGGCATCTCGTACCAACAGCAACAATCACTTCATTCAGATTGTTTCAGTACGAAAGTGATGCTGACTATGTCGACTTGTTCATGCACATCCTATTCACACTACTGTTCTTCGTCATATTTTGTAACGAACTGAAAGCAATAGTGAAGAATAGATGGAAATATTTCATGTCGAAATGGAATGCCCTCGGATGCGTTAGCCTGATTGGTACAGCCACAACAATCTCCGTCTTCATCAAGCGATATGTGGTGGCATCGGAAACACTTGCAGTGGTCGCCAAAAGTAACGGTACGTTAACATGTCGATAGTAGTTGGATAACCCTAGACAATCATTTATAGGATTTTTTTACAAACAACTTATTCTGCACTAAAAAAAAACTTAGTTTAATGGAATGTTCGGTATGTTACACATTCATATGATACATTACATTCTTTTATTTGAATTCAATTGTTAATTGTTGACTTTGGTTAAACAAAGACTCTGGTTTATTTACCAGGTGAGCTGGGATTTGAACGCTTTGTTGACCTGCAAACCGCTGCATGGTGGGATGCTTGTTTTAAACACATCTTGGGCCTTGTTGTCTTCATCAATACCATATCCCTACTTCGCGTCGTCCGCTTCAGTCAAACAATCGGCAAACTCCTGGCTCTTCCCGGCATCATGAAGGAGGAACTCTTGTCGTTCTTGGTTGTTGCCGCCATCGCCTTTATCGCCTTCATCAGCTCAGGTAAATATTTAGTGTAGTTTGGTTGAACCTTAAGCAATCCAAAATTGCAATGTTGACTGCAGGATAGAATCCTCGTCGTTAAACTACAAATTTTCTTCAGAATTTGTTCAGTCTCACTGTGTTATGTTTGATGTTAACGCCTAATTTACCTGTGTCTGATTTTAGCACACCTCATATTCGGAAGCCACATGGAATCTTACGCAGACCTGTACCACACAACGTTTGCACTCTTCGAGATGATGCTTGGCAGGTAAGTTTTACTAAGATGTATGTAATGATAATTTCATAACAAAACACATTGTATAACACCTAAGCAGGCGGTTCTATGAAGGGCATTGTCATGCAATAAATCCCTGTATTTTATGATTCTAGGTTCTTCGCCCAAGACATGTTGGACTCCAACCCTCTCACCGGGCCGATCTTCTTCTCTTCCTTCATGATCTGCATCTTCATCCTCCTGATGAACTTCCTCATGACCATCGTCTGTGACGCCATTTCCGCCGACGTGGACGTCAGCCATGACCAAGAGCTTGGAGAGTACATCTGGAGGAGCTTCCGGGCCATGTTAGGGTTTCACAGCACGCCGGATAAGGAGAATAAACCAGGTAAGTTCAAAACCCATAAGTGGAAATATTGCACAGCCCTGTCAATCAAATGAAACCCAATCTTTTGGTGTTGAGGCCCAAAAATATTAAGCCTCCATTCAAGTGCCAACCAAAACAATACATCCAATTCATCAACTAAAACTTCTTACATCTCTTACATTTAAAATGAGTACAAAATCATGAAAAAAACTTTGAAATATTCTAAATCATGTTTATTACAAAAATGAAATTTTAAGATTCCTACAGTGATTGACTAATGCTAAACATGTTCTTAACTCTTGTAAAGGTGAACTGAATTTGAAAGGACTGGAGGCCAACATAGTCATCATTCAGGAGAAACTTGATGAAGGTCTGGACATCTGTAACTCCATCCTGCCTTCACGGAAGCAGGTGACGTCTGACAAAATCACCCGGGAAGATGAGAAATTATCAATAATTGTCGACGAAAGTCACCAAAGTACCACTGTCATTCGAAATGATAACCACAACATCCAAAAACCAACTGGTACTAATGTAGATACTTTTGATATTGACACTGAAATCCAAATCCTGGAGCAAGAATTTGAGGAAGAGAAAAACAGGAAAAAAATAACAGAGCATCACCTATTAACTGAGATAAGGGTGCAGACCAAGCAAATTGAGGACATCCTTGTTAGGGTAAATCGTGCTACAACTAAACCGACTGTGCAAAAGGTACCCCGGTGTATCCAGGTTGCAGCAGCTCCAACTGAGAAGCGAAATGTGTCAGGTGACACACAGAATGGAAAACAGCAGCCTGCAGGAAACACGTGGATCTCCGATCTAAAGCTCACCGCTGAAGACAAGGCTGTACTCCTTAGTGACGAGGTGCTGACAGACAAACACATCCATGCCGCACAGATGTTACTCCGCCGTCAGTATCCGGGATTGGGAGGACTACAAGATACGACAGTAGGAGCGTCTTCGTACGGATACACACGGGTCTCCGGAGAAGGTCTACAGATTCACCACACCGGCCAATTCCACTGGGTACTCTCGTCCTCCATAGGTGGACATGTCAGTGTTTATAACAGTATCCCCGGTAGGATAAATGCATTGTTGGAGAGCCAGTTGAGGCAGTGCTACGCACCAGTCTCCAACATGGCCACCGATGTACTGACTGTCAAAGTACCATGTGTGCAGCTGCAGGAAAGCGGGAGTACATGCGGACTGTTTGCCATAGCGTGGGCTGTAGACATCGCGATGGGGACGGATGTGACCCAGGTCAGGTACAACGAGAGCAAGATGAGAGCCCATCTCCTGGACTGTTTCGAACGCGGTCACCTGTCTCCCTTCCCGCGGGTCCGTCAGGTCACCAGGCGGCGAGCCAGTGCGGTTCACCGGATCAGTTTGGCTTGCCGCTGCGGACAAAGTCGCCCGTCTACAAAGCTTGGAGGACGGGTGAAGTGTAGGAAGTGTCACCTGCCGCTATGCTAGGAAGAGTAAATGTATGCCGCAAAAGTCAACTTATAATGCAACATCTATTCACAAAGGAAAAAAAAGCCCAAGATGCCGTGTACTTGTCAGGTGATAAGAAGCAGCAGTCATATAACTACACTGAAAAAAAAATATACCAAAACGACTACTGAAATTGGCATGTAGCTGTCTATTTGTTGCATATATCATTTATTGATATTTAAAGTTGTACCATATGAAGGAAATATACACGTATGAAAGTTCGGATTTGTAAGTAGTTATTAATTTGATAATTAAAACTAATATTTGTATTTTCTTTACAAAACAAAGTGGGCATGTTTTGATCCTTTATCGATTATATACATACCTTTCATGTACTGTGACGTGTCATTTTTACTAGAAAATAGATAATTTATGCTAAATTTGTATAAAAAAAATTCCAGAGTAGCATGGTGTGTTTTGTGATATGTACTAGAATGTGTATGATATCAACTTAGTTTCATGATTATATAGTAAGCTGATATGATGTATGACATATTGATTATTTGACTAATTATTCCAATTGCACGCAACTCATTCAGTATCTTTATAGGTCTACTACTACTTTATTGTACTTTGTGTAACGGCAAACCTTTTAATTGTATCTTAAAGATAAATTTGAGTGCGGAACTATTTGTATACTTTTTTTCTGTTTCAATAAATGAAGAAGTAAAAAGAAACAAGTGTTCGGCGATCTAATGCCTCCACGAAATCTTATACATAGTGATGACGATCCTGCTCATTAGCAACATTTCATGTACATGTATAGGTATTTACATGGCCCTTACCTAGTAACACACAACACACTGGTGAAATTCTTCTAATTTGCAATGGACATGGTATAATGTTAGTTATAGAGTTTAAGCTTGTTCCAACACAAGGAAAAAACTTACCATAAAATTTTGGTTGATCCCGTCAACCTTCGTCAGATGTGTGATGCAATCTCTGACTTTCCGGAAGTCGGAAGCGTGATGACGTCAGGAGTGCATCAAAAGTGGCGGGAAGACGGAATCTGCCACAATCACTGTTCAGAGAGGGTTGATGGGCCCTGATGTAAATTGACTCCTTCACGCCTCTCATAAAAATAGTCCTTCTTCATGTACAATATTCGTACCTTATGTAATGTGACTGTGTGGCCCGGGGCCTCTATAGGTGTACTACATATTTTAATGAAAAAATCAATGTTAACTAGAGTTCATCGATCTTATAACCCTATTAAATGTTCAGTGCTTCTATACATCTTATGCATTTACACCTGTAAATGGCTTACATTTACAATCCTGATCATTCGGAAACATTTCAATGTATACAACACACTGTATCCTTAACATTTAGCATGGAAAAGATATGATATTGTTCGTTATATTCAAGCTAAGGACTATTTTTTTGGTTTTATACACAACAAGAATTCCACAATCTCATACCTTCGCCAAAGCATGTAATTATCCCTGTCCCAGCAGTTAGAGGTAGCAAGGTATTTTCACCCCACAGACACCGATGTCCTGGAGCTATACATGTACATGTAGAGAGAGAGAGAGAGAGAGAGAGAGAGAGAGAGAGAGACTGGTTTATTTGTGCCTTACAAGAAGTACACATAAAAGCCTGTAAGCAGCCATATTTGGCTTAATTGGGAAGGCTTTAAAATACAACACAAAATGCGCATATAGATTAGCTATTTGATAAAGATCCTTTACAATTAATAAAAACCTATTCGTTACATATCTAGTTTACATTAAAATTTACCACACGTTAAAGATACAATAATGCAATATGAAAACAGCTGATTGAATGTTTCTTTCAAATTAAAATTACAGAAATAAGCCAAAGTTATAATATGCAGGGCTGTATATGTGAAACTGATGCAGTGAATCATTTTTCACCATTCAATAGCTTAACACAGTACGGCAGAGTAGTGTTCAAGAAACGGGACGTTCTGCACCCAAACTCGCTTATGTCATGCGAATTTCTGAGGTTTCTGCCATGTACATCAACCCGGCGTAAGGATAGCCAAGAGTACAATCTTTTTAAACATCTTTTAGAGGAGCAAGTAATTATACAATGATTGTTACTACTCTAATGTTAGAAGGACCTCTCTATATATATGGACAGGCAACAACTCTCTTTATATGCACAGGTACTGCGTACATACTGTAACACATTAAACACCCTGGACAGGAATGTGTGGTATAGAACTTTGTACCTCTACCCCGAGTTGTTAAATTTCCCTGTCAATCTACGTTTAAAGTGTTAGAAATAAAAGATTAAAGGAATAACAAGTAAAATCTGAGGTTTTATACCTCCGGGTTGTTTATCGTATTCTTTCATATATTATTTGTTATATATTGTTTGTTGATGGAGTTAAATTTGGTGAGTTAGATTTAGTTTTCCAGGCAGGTTGTGTTAAATGTTGGATATAAATTATGGCACACGTTCAGTCTCCAGATACCGTCTAGTAGTTTTATTACGAATAACGTACTCACCAGTACCCATCATAGCTAACCCTGTATAACAATTGTAACACCGACATCTACACAAAATTTATACAACCCGGTGGGCAAGATATGTAGGATGGATGGCTGAAGATACATAGGGTAAAACAAGGGTTTACAGGTTATGTGGGTTTAATGTAAGTTATGAACGCACGTATGCAAATTTTTCATATATGCATAATCTTGCACATATTTATGAAGTAAATTTGCATATATGGGAAGATACCATGATTCCGTAACCGCGCACGGAAACAATGTTTCTTTGTTTAAAAATATCAGCTAGAACGCTTTTTTCCGCTGTTTTCAGCTGCTCCCTGTCTTTAGTAACTCCTGTCGGTAGAGGGGTACCCAATCGCGGTAGGACTCTAAATGTAATAATCTTCAGGTAAAAATGCTCACAGAGGTGATCGCGTCTTTTGTTCAAAGTCGTCAGGTCTGGAGTACGGCAGGCGTCCGCGTGACACTTGACACCTTGTATCAGGTTCATAGGTTATAGGTTTAGAGGTGAGTCACAGGACAGCGGCGTACGGACCTGTACGTGACTCCTGCTTAAAAAGACATACCTGTCCATACATGTAGTACGACCGTGTAACCTACAAGCTGATAAAGGTAGGTCATTCTAGTTATGCCCTTGTTACCCTGGATGCTAAACTAGTATCGGGCCGTTAGCCGTTTTCCTTCGGCAGCAAGGACCCTTCCCCGCCTATTTAAATACCGCTATGGGGGAGTTGAGTCCGAGGGGTTGGTCCGGCCCTGCCCAAAACTAGTTTGGCATCCAGGGTATGCTCTTGTTCTCAGATCGAATACTATGAACACGTTAAACATGTTATACAGTCATTCTTACATCTGCAACCAAAACTAATGACGGCAATATTGCCATTCATAACAGACCCTATGAAGGAATTCCATGTTTAGGAGCTTGGGCAATTTATGAATGTCGACACTGGTTGTTGTATGATAGGCGGACGTCCCCCCCGTTTCATATTTAGGTCTAGCGTTATATCATGTCGCTTTGTTGCAAGTTATGTTTGCCGGAAAATATACAGCCTGACCTTCGATTACGTGTACCTAGCATGCAGAATAACCCGTTACATATATGCACGAGAAACCAAAATGCTGTTCTAAAGACACGGTACCGTTTGTTTATCCTAATCCAAAATCAACCATAGTCCCCAAAACCGTTAGGTTCAACTATACACCAGTATTGTTTTTTTATTCTAATCCAAAATCAACCACAGTCCCCAAAACCGTTAGGTTCAACTATACACCAGTATTGTTTTTTTTTTTTTTATTATTCTAATCCAAAATCAACCACAGTCCCCAAAACCGTTAGGTTCACCCATACACCTGTATTGTATACGTGACCTACAGGTCAGGAAAAGAAAGCCGTGTATTTGACTTTGGACATACCCATTGTAACGTTAGACTTTGTAACCGCCTTAACTATTTTAAAGTTAGTATCAAAACAAATTACGATGATGACAGACGTCTGGTCAAAGACATTCACCTTGTGTGTTTGCAACGGAAGAACAAATAGAGCATAAAATATATATTATCCTTCTGCGTAGGTGAACATGTTAAACATAAATTCCTTACTAACAAATCGCCCATGTACGTACAGCAGGACTGATGACTTTTTTTACGTAAAGCTGACGGTAAAATACGTATTGTTGTGGGCAGTTACACCATTGCCTTAAGCCAGTCCTGGCTAAATCTGGGATTCGGTTATTCCCCGTCTTGACAAATAGTACAGCGCCGCGCAAAAACCCGGAAGTCAGTCCACCACAATTTACAATTTACACATGGCGCTGGAAGAGGTCATGGGACAAAGGGTAAAACGTTGCTGTTCTTAGATTTGGTTTCTGTTGATTATGCAGCCCTCTGTAACTCAACTTATTATTTGTGTAATTTTTTAACTTAGGCGTTCTAATTATGATTTTCGGGTAACTCAGTCTTTGTTATTTCACCCCATGCTGTAGAATGAAGTGAAATATTGTTTTTCCTCGTGTTTCTTCTCCTCTTTCTTGTTCCTCCTCCTATCATAACAAACAATTTGATGTGTGGTTTGTGTAGTTTTGAATAGAATTAGCGCCGCGGCGTGCACGAGAACGTCGATACTGTAGCGATACACGTCGGGTGGGAGGGGACGTCACGTGCGCTCAAAAATCCAGGCAGTTTGTATCGTAAAATGTTCGTACAAGTTGTAAATATAGCGATCTTGGATTCCGATATATTTAAACATACATCCTAGGGAACAGTTTGATGTATGATTTGTATGAGTTTCAAGTGAAATTAAATTTATCGAAATTGGATTGCGGTAGACTTTATACCTGTTTGTTGGAGTTGGAGGGCTTGGCAATATATGTGTGTGCGTTTGTGTGTCTGTGTGTGTGTGTATATTTGTGTGTATATAGATATAGATAGATAGATAGATAGATAGATAGATAGATAGATAGATAGATAGATAGATAGATAGATAGATAGATAGATAGATAGATAGATAGATAGATGGATAGATGGATATAGATATAGATATATAAAGATAGATATAGATTTAGGTCATATTTCATGTTGGTCATTTCACTATTGTTTCCTTCGTGACAGGTGGCCATTCCTGAGTGACAGTTTTCTATACCTTGCGGTCGGACAACAGCACAATGGGCATTCTTCATGGGGCAACAGTCTTTGTAAGTTGTGGCATCTTGCCAATTGACTGCATATCACAGCAAGACTCAAGAGGCTGAACATTATATGGCACTTTGACCTCATATCTTACAAAAATTATCAACTGATTAGTTGAGGTATTGTAAAAATGTATTTGCTCCTACAACTGTCAAGTATAAAACTCGCTGCCACTAACTACAGTACAGTAGGGGCATCATCACCTGATGATTTTAACAGTGTTTACTATTTGATATAATATTGCTAGGTATAAGAAGAACATTCATTTGGTGTATACTTGTAATACAACCAGTTGTAGCTCTAGGAGCTTTATACAAACACCCTAAAACTGAATCTCCATATACTTTCCAACTAATATGCGAGAGTCGTAATCTTAAGCAAAAATGAAAAAAAAAATGAAATAGAAAAATACAGTTTTTCCTTAATAAACATTGTTTGAGTTATCTATAAAGAAAAATAAAATCACCAACAGCTCCTTACATATATTTTGCTGGTATAATTTCATCAATATCCTTTTCAAAATCGAACACGGTAGTTAGATTTGAAGAGCTGTAGCCTGAAGGAAATAAAAAAAATGCCCCTACTAATAGAATAAATAAAGCACATTTTTCTTTGTTCATTTTCATTTACAATGTACAATATACATGAACTAATTACAGGTCATCATGTCTTTAATGACACCCGTCCATTCGGTGTTGCCTGGCAACCCCCGTGTGATTGACATGACCCACACATTTGACGAAAACACCATCTACTGGCCGACTTTAAGGCAATTCAAGAGGACCGGCGTGTTGAGAAACTACACAGCTGACGGTACCTGGCGCGAGGAGTCTGACATAGAGGGGGCAGAACATGGTGGGACACACCTGGACGCACCTGCGCACTTCAGTAAAAACAAGTGGAGAAGTAAGTGATTAATAAAAACAAATCATTTCTTTGTTGTAACATAAATTACACAATGTCGTTGAAGAGGTTCATCAGTGACGTAAAGTTACAGTTATTAGAATATTTGAATTCTTCAATCAGTAAGCTTTTGAAAGGTATCACTAAATTTCCGATGTCAACTGCACTTTTTGATCGCGGAGTGACCTAGTCTCGCGAGAACAAGCCTTAGGTCTTCCGGGGGAGGGGGCAGAAGATCCACACAAGTCTCGACCTAGTCTCGTGATCTCGTGAGACTAGGTCACTCCGTGATCAAGATGTACAATGGACATCGCAAAATTGGAGGTACGTGTTTTAAGCTGCGAACACATCGGAAATTTTTAGCAGTCCGCAATCCCGTGACTACCGTGATCGTCACATCTGCATGAAAAAAAACGCACATCCATAACATGGACGAAATACATGGCCTGTACCAACATTCTATCAAAAAAGGGATATTGCTAAAATGTTACATAACGTAAGAAAATAACAAACTAGTAAAAATAACAAAAACGCGCATCATCTTGACCATCCTAGCAGACAATGTACCAAACTGCAAACTGCATATTCAGTATCTGATGATGTTTCATTTCATTTATTTCGAAACCTTTTAGCCCTGCAGGGCTAGTCTTCCAAGGCTCAAATACATGGAATACAGGCACTTCGAATTCGTTACATATATACATAGGAAATAGTGCATACGATACAGTGCAAACGTTTAAAAAGACAAAAATACACCAAACATTTAAAGGAACGCACAAATGAATACTGACAATTTAAAAACTAGAGGTCGGCTTCATGTGACACTGTTTACTATGGCTTTCTTAAACTTGAGAAGGTTACTCAGTGTCTTGACATGATAAGGTAGGTCGTTCCACAACGATATTGCACGATACAGGAATGAGCGCTTCATACTGTTCGTCTTAGGTTTGGGTAATCTAAAGTTGTACTGTGCAGAAGATCTGGTATTGTGAATGTGAGATACATGAACAGGCACAAGGGAGTTGTATATATACTGTGGTTCATGACTATTGACAATCTTAAAGAACATAACCAGTGTGCTAGAGGAGAATCTCTCACTCACAGTCAGCCAACCGAGATCAATATGCATCTGCCTAGTAGGTGTATCAGGAGCACATTTCAATAATAATCTACAAGCCCTATTCTGAACTACTTGCAGTTTGCGCATGTTAGAGACTGACATGCTAGCTAAAACTGGTGCACAATACTGTACCACTGACAAAACCAGTGCACAAACAACAACCTTACAAACTGCAAAACGCATCGCCCACATGTGTCTTCTCCATAAGGCGATGTTTCTAGATTGTTTTGAGGCAATGTGAGTGACCTGTAAATTCCAGGTGAGCGACCGATCCATATGTAGCCCAAGCAAAACTGTCTCCCTCACTTCCTGAACCTTCTCATCACCGATAGCAAGATCTAGTGAATTGTCAGGTGTATTAGCAAGCCTACGTGGGGTTCCGAATAGCATGCATTTGGTTTTAAGAATATTTAACACAAGTTTATTCATGCAAACCCAGTCTGATAAACTTACAAGGTCGGATTGCAAACCAACAGTGATGTCACTTATAGTCTTACCGGCTTTGTAGATAGATGTATCGTCTGCGTACATTTCAGGTGTACTGCTTAACACAGACAAAGGTAGGTCATTCGTAAACAGTGTAAAAATAAGCGGGCCTAAACAACTTCCCTGAGGGACACCACACTGAAGTACAGAGGGTTCAGAGAAATGACCATTGATATAAACAACCTGTGATCTAGTCTTGAGATAACTCGTCATCCATGACATAGCGTTTGAAGAAAAGCCATATGATTTAAGCTTGGCCAACAGAATATCGTGGTCAACAAGGTCAAATGCGGCACTAAAATCCACAAACACTGCACCCACCAACTCGCCCCTGTCAAAAGCATTGAGCCAATCCGCCTGCCACAGATTAAAAGGATTACATATATAAAAGTACTAGTATATAAAACACTGTCATTATGGAATTTTCTCCTTAATCATAAAAAATTAAGTTCTCATTTGCATAATTTGCATTTAATTATATACAACTCTCTATCAACACACCAAAAATTATGAAAATACGTTTTTCCTATCTGGACTTATTGGCTTTTAAAGATTTCTCAAGAAAGTCCCATGCATTTCCAGAACAAGCGGCTAGGGGGACCAAACCCACACCACTTATTCCTGCCAGGAACAGCTATTTGTCACTAAGAAGTCAAGACCATAACTTGTTCTGGACAAACAATACAAAAACCGGAAGTTCTGCTGCAGTACCAAGGTCATCCACCAGGAGGCCCATATTTGACCTTGACCTTTGTCTTCCTAAGACTTACCCAGCATACCAAATATCATCACAATCCATGAAGGCGTTCTGAAGTTATGCTGACTACAAATGTGCGGAAACACAAACACACACACACACACACACAGACAGGAAGACAGACACACACACACACACAGACGCACAGATAGACACACAGACACGCCAAAACAATGCCTCCATTTTACATAATACACAATTTAAACGATGTTTTCATCCAGGTCATGATATTCCCGTGGAGCGGCTGATGGGACCAGCGGCTGTAGTTGACGTGTCTCCAAAGGCGGCTGCTGATGCGGACTATCTGGTTACTGCAGAAGACTTTCAGCTGTGGGAGGAGAAACACGGCAAAATCCCAGATGGATGCCTTCTCTTCAGTAAGTTAATCATTTATATCACTCGATATGGAAACACTTGACATTGAGGAGCACTTTATGGGAATTAATATTTATATATGTATGATTAAGGGAGTTATGTAACTGGCCATTTTTGAATGAGTGTCTGAACTGAAATATATTGTATTTTACTCCTGAGCAAATAATAGCTTTTCTACCTTACAACCAATTTACCTACCTACTACCTAGTTACATACAATAATTTGAACAATATGTAAACGGCTGGTTTACACCTTTAACTAACACTTAAAAAACGCAGAGTGGTGTGTATGGGCATCATGCATTCTTAGCTTACCACAAAAAGAACTACTAATGTCCAGCAGTAAAATCTAGAATGCAGAAGATGGCAGTATAGCCCAATGTGCACCCATTTTTAAATTTATGAAGCAATGATCCCAATATACCATTTGGAAAATTCTGCAAACATTTAGCTGCTCGAAATTCATACTTAATAAGGATATTTCCTAACAGTTAATTTGAATGTTTCTGCAATATCGAAGTTAAATGTTTAATTTCAAATGTTTAATTCCATGAGCATACTGAGCTGTTTCTATTAAAATCAATAAAAACCGTTTTAATTATTTGTTTAAGAAGCTATTTGAAACGGACTGGTATGGATAAGCGTCCCTAATATGTACAGTGAAAAATAACAGGTAAAGTAAAGATACTTTCGAAATAATCTCTTGCAGTAAAAACTGGATGGGGCAGGTTTTGGCCCAATAAACTCCTGTACCTTGGTACAGACTCAAGGAACTCGTCATTGCTGCACTTCCCCGGACTACACCCAGATGGCGCTCGGTGGCTGGTACAGAACCGTGGGATGCACGCTGTTGGGATCGACACGGCCTCTATCGACTACGGACAGTCTAAAGTATGAGTACAAATCTGATTCAATCGTCCAAAGCAGTTTCAAAATTACCGCCATTTACTAATATGGCATTATAATGGTTTATGAATTCGCGATCTTTATTTAAATCTTTCTGATCTATAAATGCTCGTCTCCTTTTCAACTTAATCGCATGCCTATACAATTTACTCATTAGCATGCAAATTTAAATATGAACATTTCCCTAAAACCTTTATCATATGAACTATTTGATTCGTCTTCAGATTACTACTAGTATCTTCGTAGCAAAGATCAGGACACATTATCAGGACACAGGATATTCACATTATTTGGCACTATCTAAATTGTGTAAAATGGAACTGGGCTTTAAAAATTTTTTTAGACGAAATGTACACTTCTGACTATAATCTTAAAACCAAATGACCCAAAGAACACTTTTATATAATACGGAACAGCATTTTAGGACATGTGTAACCGAAGAGAACTACATGTGCGTTTCGACCAACAATTGTTAAGAACTTATGGGTTTAAGTCACGTAATAATAAAAACACCACCACCGACATGATGATGATGATAAAAAATGGATGCAATCGTTGATGTGGAACAGTCCAGTTTTAAATGGGGGAAAATGGACTGAAGTACGCAAAATTTGCTCTAGAGCAAATTTTGGCCTAGCTAGTTTGGGTTTTTACATTCCCGAAATGCTAAATAACTAAATATACGTCCTGTTTTACTTTGCCGACTCTAAATGTTCTCTTACAGTTAAGACCGGATGGGGTAAGTTTTGGCCCGATGAGCTCCTGTACCTTGGTACAAACACAAGGAACACGTCATTACTGCACTTCCCCGGACTACACCCAGATGGCGCTCGGTGGCTGGTACAGAACCGGGGGATGCACGCTGTTGGGATCGACACGGCCTCTATCGACTACGGACAGTCTACGGTAAGGACAGAACAATGATATTGATAATAATGCTAATGACCTAATGCATAAAAGATCAAGATACAAATTGTTGTGCAGTGTCATTCAGTTTTCATCAACTAGATAGTTTCTTGTCTTTAGGCCACGCTTGATCAATTTTATGTATGACATCCTCTGAAGACCCACGAAGTAATGCTTGTGTGCCATCCTCCGTAGTTAAAAATCGGGTGGCCTTTGTTTGAGAATATACGTTAATTAATTGAATATCCATTTAGTTACCCAAGTTTCGCGTGAATGTTTTTGAAACCCCAGGTGTATGAGGCGCATCAGGCCCTGTTTGGAAACAATATCCCAGTGTTTGAGAACGTGGCCAATTTGGACCAGCTCCCGGCAGTGGGGTCTGTGGTGTTCGCCTTGCCGATGAAGATTGGAGGCGGCAGCGGAGGACCTGCCAGGATCGTAGGATTTGTGAACAAACACGAATATTCCCCACCCCATGTTGATCTGTAAATATTATCTTTACTGTCACAATCAAATTTTATAATAGGAATTTTCCTTTCCTTGCCATGCTTACGTTTTGGTGCATCAGACATCTTCCTTGGAGCTTCTGGCTGGAGTTCTGCTTCTCGCCGTTTTTTTTTTAAATCTCTACATGTCCTATGTAGTATATGTAAACAGGATAGGAGAATTAAAGAAGCAGGCTAGATAATGTAGTCGATTCCAGTGATAAACCGGGACGAGGGGAGGTATAAGCTAAGTCACGTTTAGGATTGTGTTTTTTAACAGCAAAAGCGCCACTACATATAACGGCGAGGAGTAGAATTCCAGTCCGCAAAATTGTTTTTCAGAGACATTCGTGTTGTACGTATGTATTTTAATGTTATGGAATGTGAACTCATCAGGTCTACAAGGCACATCACCTTTGTGTTTTATGTTCTAACCGTTACTCTGGTATACCTTTCATTCAGCCTCACACACTATAGTTATTCCATCAGATATGTTTTTTTTATGGGTTCACCACACCACGAAGTGGTGGTGAACCCATATTGCTTTTTCTGATGTTTCTTCTCCTCCTTCTCCTTCTCCTCCTTCTCCTGCCATTTTTTAAATGGATTCAGCTTCTTCATTTTAGGGCCCAAGGTCCTGAAATTTGGTATGGAGGTACAGTGGGCAAATACCCCTAGGCGTTTTTTAAATTATTGTGATACAGGCTTTTAGAATGGTTTTATTTGAGTTTTTTGGCTGTGTTATAGCAAATGTATTACTGTGTTAGTGTGCCTTCTTTACCACGTTTGGGCATGAGTCATCACAATGGAATGCAGGGCATCACCCAATAGGCATGCAGCTTTCCTCTATTCTTCTTGCTGATTGGCTGTTGGGATTTAACTTGATTAACACCTGCACAGAGCATTTCCACCTGCACAGAGCATTTCTTGCTGATTGGCTGTTGGGATTTAACTTGATTAACACCTGCACAGAGCATTTCCATACTGACAGTATGTCTTTATTCAAGTGTTTTGGTAGGTATTTCAAGCTTTTCTGCTCCAGCATTGGAATGCGGGGCATGAACGTTTTTTTTATTTTGAAAATCAACAGTTTGCATTATGCAATTAAAAATCCTAACCAATAAAGTAGGGAATAGCTATCCAACTGTTGTTTTAGTTGTATGTTACTTCATATTATAGTTATATCAATGTAAATCATTGTTTTCCCTTGTGTTTCTCATTCTTTCCCTGCCATGTCGTAAAATGTGGTGAACCCATCGCTATATTTGCTCCAAAGCAAATATTGGCCTTTCTAGTTTTTATATATATTTGGTCAGAAATCTCTAGATTCCAAACACAACTAAATCACATTTATCTAGATGCACAATTGCATATTTTAATATGCTGTTTTGGCAACACGAAAAAAATATTTTCAAAAATGTTTTGTTCATGCAAAAATGTGTCCTTTTATGTTGTATATCTGCATTTATGTATCCCCGGCCCCCAAAAGAGTACAATATTGATAGCCGTGCATTTTCAAAAAAGCAGTTGAGGCATTTTACTTATATCTATAAATATCTATTATCTATAATACCCTACAATATATCTAGTTCCCATATATCAGATTTTAAACTGTTCTCTGGATAATTCTACGCAACCCATTGTTTAAATTTCTATGATTTGATATGACATTGACGAAGTCTATGTAGTTTTAAATATAGTGACTGTGTTTAGAGTGTTATTTTGAATATTGTGGTATTTTTTATTGTCAAATTGTTTGTTTACACTTTGGAATTGCGTTTGCATCATGAAGGGGTTATCTACTAAATGAATTGCTGCTTCCTAACATATTTTGGTATGGCATTATGACAAGTAATGTTGAAGACTCGAATTAAGCGATACAAATGTGTCACGTGCTTTTATCCTGTAATCTAGTGTTGTCCTCAGTGCAGTCAGATTTTTAGTACTGCGCTTTTTCAATAGACGTTGTTTTTCCAATTTCTATAGCCCACAGTTATTATTACTCTTTAATTACAAAACTTTAGATTGGATCATATGGCGTTGCAACAAAACGTTTAACTTCAAGTTAGGATTCTGCCATGCCATAAATCTTGTGTGCTTGGGAAAGACATTTTACACAAATTTCCTCACTTTATTCACGTGAAAATGAGTGTAGTTTTGTTGGCGGCATGAATTTATAGAAGTTGATATACATTAGTTATCAGTGAAACATGTTATTAGTGAAATGAAAATAGGCCTTCTGCGCTTGCGGAAAATAGTGATCTTTGCCCTACTCAATCTTCATCCCCCCTATTCGAGGTTACAGAGTAGGGACGTTACACCTACCTACCCACCCAGGACAGGGTATATTCGGGCTTAAGGCGGAAGGGATAGAAGCGAGGGATGACCACAGGCGTATTGCTTTCCATTGTACTCGACAGAAGTGTGGAAAAAAAATAAAAACAAATAAGAGTCCATCCCGAATTTCTGTTTTAAAAGCAGACGTTAGCATTGACGATATCAACTTTATAGTTTTCTATCCATTTTTTATACAAATTTTGACACACATTTATATCCGTTATAGCGCTCTTGAAAACTATGGCGAAGAAACGGTACTTTGCTAGCAAAGGATGGTGCATTTACTTCGTCTTAATGACAATATATTGACTTACCACGACTTATGGAGGAACGGCAGTCCTGCATCTGGACATTGCCGTTGCTGTCGCGGTGTGTGTGTGTTTGTTTGTTTGTGTGTTTTTGTGTGTGTGCCTGTGTGTTTGTGAGTGTGTTTGTGTGTATCTGCGTGTGTGTGTGTGGTGTGTGTGTGTGTGTGCGTGTGCGTGTGTGTGTGTGTGTGTGTGTGTGTGTTTGTTTGTGTCTTTTTTTCTAGAGAAAAGATAATTAATGCTACATTTAAAAAAATCAGACGCTTTCCATGATAGTACGAAACATCATAGGAAATAATGTAAAGTCGTATGTTGTGCTTTGTGAAAAATGACGTGTACTGGAATGTGTATACTATCATCTTAATTTTATCATTATGTAGTAAGCCGATATTGCAAACCCCACACTGATTGTACGACTAAACAATTGCACATAACGCATGCAGTATCGTTATGGGTCTACTAAATAATCTATTAATACTTTATCGTTCTTTATGTATAGACATCTACTTTTAAAGGTGCATTAATGATGAAATTGAGTACGTAATTTTGAATTTAATTTTTTTTTCTTTCAATAAATACAAAAAATAAAAAAAGGAAAGAAGTTTGTGGATTTTTTTTGAAAGGGAAACAAATATATATTTGAAAAAAAAATGTGACTATCTAGTCTTTACTATCTATCTACCTTACCCTCTCACCCTGACACCTTTAGGTCCTAAGGGCTGTAAGTCTTTTTCATTTTTTTCCACTCTGCTCTGTCTTTAGTTATTTGACAGAGAGTAATAGAATGTCTGGCACCTGTCGTCTTGTTCATTTTGATAATCTGATCAATCCAAATGTGTCTTAGCGTGCCCTAGCTATGGTCTTTTTTGGGGGGTTTCCAGGTAAAGATTTATTTTCCGTCTCTATTTTTTGGCATCCTTTGCCTTTTGTCCATACCGTCGACCCCGTCCCTAGGGCGTCACCAAAATACTGTGACATTACGGCTTTAAAAATTGAACACTGGATACATCTGAAGTGTGTATATAAATCAATGATTACTAGTGCTGTATTTTGTTTTATTCGTAGATAACTAGATGTAAATAAATACATTTTTCAACGTCGGTGTGTTAGTGTATCAGGTAGAATTATGGCAGTTGACATAGACTTTTGTTTCGAACTAAAATATGTTGCAAATCCGACCCTCTGTCACAAGACGCTATATCCCGCTTGGGTTGTTAGAACAGTTGTCACCACATTTATGCTACTAAATCATTTATGAGAAAACGTTCTCTGTATGACAACCATGTATCTATTCCAAGCCAGTTGATAACATATAGTAGCCTCTCAACTGCATCATGACAACAGTGATGTCATAAACTGTCCCCTACAAAAATGTATTGGGTTGTTCTCACTAAATTATTCATATTGACGGCTATATACCTCTTTTCAAGGCTATTGCCATTTCAGGGCTCGCTGTTGCAACTACGACAACACCCATGTCCTTACACGAACCCCGGTTAACAGCCATGTTGTTTACACTAAAATGTGGATCGTTCCTAATCATCATTCTCTTTCTATTTTGAAAAGATTTACAATATGCTAGTAGTCACAGTCACCTTCAAATACCATGGTTGTCATCAATGCATTCACACAAACATATCTTATCACATAGTTCCATTTACTACCCTGGAAAATACTGCAGATAGAAGAGGTCAATGATTAGTTTTTCACATACAAATTCTATGTGTGTCCACATTTGTGATTTACGCTGCATGCGTTAGTTAACAACTCAGTTAAAGGGGTATTATGTAACTTTTTGACAATACAAAAAGTATATTTTTCCATTTTTTCTTGATACATAGTAAGTTGATTTAAAACCCTTGATATTCCAGAAAAATATTCAGCAATAGAAAATAAACACCCTTGCTCCATGCAATGATAATAGAAAACTGAATGATCTTCTATTCAAACCTCTGAACATACCGCACGTATGGTTGGCCACTGCCAGTGGTGTGGCCTACCTCCAAGTGGGGTGTAAATTTACAGCTTAGAAGCTTCTGAAATACCTAATCGTTTACCATAGTCTATTGAAGGGATAATGACCAAAGTTTATTGATGTCTAACTAATTTCATAATTATATTTAACTTCATGTGAAGCTGATCTTGTGACATTCGCCCCTGTCTATCTAGCCTGGCATGCCCCACCCTAGGGGGCTAACCACTGTACGTTACACCGTCAAGGTGGTATACCTCCTGGCGGAGTATTGTGGGTAAACCTGGCAACAACACTGACGTCAAAATGACGTCATAAAATGACGTTATGCATAATTAAGCCTTTAAAAGCAATTAAAAAAAAGAATGTGCATCTGTGAACGCAGTTTAGCTTTTTGCTGCAATGTTCTTGATTTAAAAGAAATACATCATTTTGATTGATTAACCCTAAACAGTACACCTGGGGTCTGTTTTGTTTCTAGAAATTTTTTTCTAAAATTTTAGGTAATTGTCACCCACAAAGTTGTTTCACAATACAGTGCAGAAAAAAACTCCGTTTCTACCATTTATAAAAAAAATTATATCTGATTTTCTTTTGGGGTCCGCGCGGACCCCAGCCGGCTTTCGATCATAATGGATACACTGGCGTTC